ATGTGAGTCGCTATAACCATACTTGATATGACTGATATGCCTGTCGTGACGTTCTTCAGGCGTCGGTTAGGTAAGACATTTGTCACCCTAGACTGGCCCGTCTAGCTGTAGCAAACAGCTCAGGTGCGGGGGTGTCAACCCCGTATAGATTTATACACAAATTCTCGCTCTCCCTCCAGGAGACTCTTGTTATAACTACAGGACTTATAGTGTACACTAGGTAGGTACAAATGAAGGCGTGTCATACAAGAGCCTTTTACGCGAATATTGTATTTCATTTCTTAACACTTTAAATAGTGTTTCAAGTATGTATTTTGTTTACAATTCATCGGTGATAAAAATATATTTGTTCATATCAAAATGTCAAATATTTAATTGATATCGACCCGATAAGCATAAAATGTGTCGCATAGGCCCATTAAGAAAACAAATGGGCATATAAGGCCTAATTAGGATAGAAATACCAAACATGACCCAATAAGCATGTAAGGCCCAATAAGCGTGTAGTTGGGTACGTAAAGACCCAATAAACATGTAAATGGGTATATAAGGCCCAATTAACAAAAACGACGTAAATAGTCCGTTTGTCATCAAAATACTCGGTTTAACTCAATTATTACCAAAATGACATGAAATGCCTACTTTTATTAAAAATGTCCATTTTGGCCCAACAAAACGAAATTTATAATAAAGGCCCACTTTTGTTAAGAATGACAATTTAAGCCCATTAAGGCCGAGAATTTCAACAATGGCCCATTTTTATTACAAATAACATTTTAGGCCCCCCTTAAAGCCGAGAATTTACAATTAAGGCCCGTTTTTGTTAAAAATGACATTTTTGGCCCATTTAAAAAACCGTGTTTTGTCAAATAAGGCCCATTTTTATCAAAAATGACATTTTAAGCCCATTAAGGCCGAAAATTACATTTTAAGCCCATGAAACCGTGAATGTCCAAATAGAGCCCATTTTTATGAAAATTTGCACATTTGGCCCATAAAAACCGAGGAGGCCCAATATGAAGCCCATTTTGACAAAAGTAACATTTTTGAACCCCATAAAACCGTGAGTGTCACAAAAAGCCCTTTTTATCCAAAAATGACTCTTTTTGACCCCTCAAAACCGTGAGTATCATAAAAAGGCTCACTTTTGCTTATTTGGCAAATATGGCCCCTCTTTATATTTTCTTTAGTTTTATGGTATCCTTTAACATGTTTAATCTTTTCAACATCATAGTGAGTTACATAAAGTAACTTGTTTTCCTAATATCTTCAAGACTTGGAAGATATATCGAGTTTATGAGTGTTTAACATAGTTTCATAACATATTTACACAACATATCATGAAAATACACACAAGCATGCATA